AGAGATGAGTTCTCCAGGTATCTCCTGACCATTGGTATTCAACATGTCAGGTTCTTGGTGGAACAAGTGCTTGCTCCTGACTCTTCTTGTTCTCGTTGTCGTCTCAGAAGCGTCAAGATTGCCTAACTGGGAACAGATGCGGCCTAAGAAGCTCCCAACTCCTTCCTCTTCCCCTTCTAAAGGCGCCAATTCTTTAACAACATCGACTTCAACTGCGGTTAAAACAGATACAAGCCTCCCTTCATCAGATGGAAAGGTCTAGCTGGAGTTAAAGTATAGGAGCATTTTTTCAACTTGTCTCTAACTATAGTATACAAGTCTTGGGGCTGCGCCAATTGGAAGAAGGCACACAGTTTTGCAAACTAGTCTTCAATGTGATCCAAAATACTTGATCAGTCTGATGTGCTCATGGGTACAGGATTATATGCAATTGTAGAGTTGAACATATTGATGCTCGGATGCAATCCATTGTAAAGAAGAGTAGCACTTGATTGCTGACAATGATGTATTTGTAGGATTAAAAGTCAAGATTTAAGAACTAATCACCTTTTTCTGAATGTTGCTCTAGAAGCTTAGCTTGTATTGATTAATGCAGCTTGATAAATAACCAACCTACTAGGGTTATTTTCCAAGTAAATTCTTGCAATCAGATACTTCTTGTAATTGTTACTTCCTCAGAATAATTGAATCAAGTCATTGGAGTTGTATATTTTTGACATTTTTTATACCACATTTGCCTGTTACGATGAAAGCATCAATCTAAAGTAGATCGATGATGTTATTTATTTTTACATAGCATTCACAGTGATGGAAATCAAAAGAAGATAAGCATAGAGAGCTCACTAGAAGAGGAAAAACAGAGGAGAAATTGAGGGAAAACATAGAAGACATAGCCATACATCTTCATTTGATATCATTTACTGATATATGGAGCTTGCTTCTTATATTGTATAAACTTCTTGTTTTGACCACTATCTACTGAAATACAAAAAGACTAATTACATTACATGGCTCCAATACAATTAACATAATTAAAATATTAATTATTATCTAAGTAAAATTCACTCTTTTATCACACGGTACATACCAAGGACAATATATTGAAAATTAGGAAGAGAATCCTATCTACAAGAATGTGGTCTCTTCCATTCCCCTATTGTTTTTTTTTGGGTTTTATGATTGGCAGTACAATAAATGGGTATAAACCAGTCACCAAGAAACTTGTGTTTATCTCCCACTGTGAACTGCAAATCCTACTTGATCTGGAAAGGTATTGGAGACGACACTCGTGCTACCACTGACATCAAAGTCACAACCAGATTTATCAGATGTTTCACCAAGCGAGTACTCTACCTCTTTTGCATCGCATGCATCGTTAGCCTGTGGATGCTTTGTCATCCTTCTCAGTCCCTCTAATTCCATAGCCACTTCCTTCATTGTAGGCCTTTCTTCCCCTTTTACACTCAAGCATCTCCTTGCCAGGTTAGCTACCTCATTAAGCTGCTCAATGTTTGCTTCATTCACTATACAGCCATCAAGAATTTTTCCCAAGCAATTATCTTTCATCGCAGAAAGAAAATACATGGAAAGATTTCTCTCTTCCTCTGTCCTGGCAAAGGAAAATACCTTTTCCCCAGTCAAAAGCTCAAGAAGGACAACTCCAAAACTATAAACATCACTTTTGTCTGTTAATTGGCTTGAACGCAAGTATTCAGGGTCCAAGTATCCAATAGTTCCTTGAACAACTGTAGATATTCCAGCTTGGTCTTGTGGAACCAACCTTGAAGTACCAAAATCGGATACTTTTGCTGTGTAGCTATCATCTAAGAGTATGTTTGTAGACTTTATATCTCTATGAATGATTGGTGTAGAGGCTGCAGAGTGCAAATATGATAGTACTCCTGCAGTTTCTGTTGCTATCCTTAAGCGGATTTCCCAAGTCAATGATGAAGCCTTACTTTTATTGTGGATGTGATGGTGAAGAGTGCCATTGGTAATGAATTCGTAAACTAGCAATGGAACTTCTGTCTCTAAGCAACAACCTAACAGCTTCACCACATTTCTGTGGTTGATTTGTGAAAGAACAACCACTTCATTTATGAATTGCTCATTTTGACTTTGATCAATAACATGGGACTTCTTGATTGCAACAATTCTCCCATCTCTAAGAGTTCCTTTGTACACTGTCCCATAACCTCCTTGACCTATAATTCCGTTATCATCAAAGCTGTTTGTGGCCTTCTCGAGTTCTTCAGCTGTAAAAATTTTGGCTATTTCTGCAGATCCTTCATGGTTGGATAGTTGTTGTTGCAACATCAAACCTCCATTTTGCATGAAGAACTTCTGTTTGAGTTTGATGAGCTTCCATTTATTATATCCCCAGAACAGCCAAGTGCCAGC